TTGTCAAGCATTGGAACAGGCTGCCCAGGGAAGTGGTTGAGTCCCCATCCCTGGCGGTATTTAAAAGACCGCTGTCCCATGGCTTTCTGGTGACAGCCCAAGCACAGGGGACATGCCGCAGCTCCCTACCACTCTGGTTAGACTCAGCATGCAAACATCTGCATGCAGGCTCTGAAAGGTCCCAGCCCTGCTGAGGAGCTACCTGGGCATCTAAAACAAAGGGGTTTTAACTTTACAGATGTTTAGGTATTTAAAAGACCGCTGTCCCATGGCTTTCTGGTGACAGCCCAAGCACAGGGGACATGCCGCAGCTCCCTACCACTCTGGTTAGACTCAGCATGCAAACATCTGCATGCAGGCTCTGAAAGGTCCCAGCCCTGCTGAGGAGCTACCTGGGCATCTAAAACAAAGGGGTTTTAACTTTACAGATGTTTTTCTGAAAACCTTAGGAAATTATGCATGCAAAGCATACCCTGATTAAAGTGTGGCCTTAACATTGCAAATTAAGTGCTATCAAGTTAAGAATCCCCAGGATTAAGGTTGTCTGGGCCTTCCTATTTCAACGTATTTTTGTACATGTGTACAAAACCAGCCTTCATCACATGTTGATGCACTCTTTTGCTCCCTGGCTGGAGATCAAGCAGAGTTAGATGGCAGATAAGGAGACTCTCTGGTTTCATCTTATGCAGTAAGGTGGAAGGTGGGCAGCAAACCAGTCACCAGGAGAAGTAACCATACCATTGATTCAAGCAGCTGGAAATTAGCCTGGAGAATCGGACCCTGTCTTTGCCTAAAAGAAATTCCTGCAAGATGCTGGGAAAGTGTTGTACAACACATTCATAACAACCTTTCAGAGCCGTGGCTTTCGCAGGTCCAGGAACCTGACCTGCAGCCCTGGGACCTGCTTAGCAATCAGGGGACTGCTCACAGTCACCGTCGAGGACACGAGGCTCTGCGCTCCGACCGCACAAGTTGTTAAAGGCAGCGCTAAGCACTCTGAAAATCAAAATCAAAATAAATTAAAAAAAAAAATTGAAACTGCACCCTAGGTGTCTGAGAGTGGGCATGCAAAATGGTTTGATCTCAATCTCTCTGCAGCTCAGTTGCCCAGCTATGAAAGACAGAGAACCTCCCTCCCTTCCCGCAGGCTTCGTGAAGACAAATTGCTGTCTGTGAATCATCCCAGGATTCACCTCAAGAAGTGATAAATAATTCTATGTTCAGAGAGAGGCTCAACAGAGCACTGAACCATGCACCAAATGCACAGTCCAGGATGATGCGCTGCTGGGAAGATCCTTAGAGGGGTTCCATTGTCCCCGAGCACCACATGGAAATGTGGTCCTCGGGGCAAGGCAGCGTGGGATCAGGTAATTAAAAGAGTTTACTAATCTGCATGTGTAGGCACAAAGAGAGGAAACAAAGATTGTTTTTATTCAGTTCTACCTTTATAATTAATTCTAGCACTTCGTAACTTTTAGATACTTAACTTTGCAATTTTTATTTAAAAAAAGTTGAAGTCGTTGGTGTGTGCGTGTGTAATACTATCCTAATGGATTGATGGGCAACCAGTGAGAACTACCAGAGCAGGTTGACTAATGATATAGACATTTTTTCCCCATCAGTAAAGAAATAAGAAAAGCGGGGCCTGCCATATCCCAGGCAAGGGTAAATGGTTCCTTCTAGGAAGAAAAGGTGGGGAGTGGCCAGGAGCAGGTTACTGTGAAAGGTCATGGAGACCTTTCCGCTCCTAGCAGGATGGAGAGCATGCCAGCATGGATAACGTCAAGAAGAAAATAACAGTAGTTCAACAGCATGCTGTGCAGTAATTTCAGCAGTTCCAGTTTCTCTTTTCATCATTTATTTAAGACTGTGTCTAGACAGTGCATTACCATTCACAGAATTTATGACTAATGCCCTGAAAAGCAAAGATACCGGAATAATGTAAACACAGAAATCACCTAGAAGCCATACAAATCCTTTTATGGTTTAAAATATTCCCAAATTAACTTTGGCAAGAAAAAGAGTCAAGGTCACCACAGTATTTCATGGACAAGCCTGCCCAGAGTGCCCACCAACAATGTGGCAAGGGCAGAGCAGAAATTCTGCAGCTAAGCTTTAAAAGAGATTTACAGATTTGTTAATATTAGATGAAATAAACTCATCAACAGCTCTCAAGCCTAAAATATCCCTAGAGATGCTTTTAAAAGGCATAGAATTATACTGGGAAACAATACTTAAAGTGTTACCAGGATGCCTTTTTTTCCACCCAAGAAGACGGTCTTGATTTTCAGAGGTTCTGAAACACCTTGAAAATCCTGATCACTCGTAGAGTTTCTTGTGCAAATAGAGACAACCATAACTAGCTAGTGACTCTTCAACATTTAGCTGACACAGCTATTTCCTTGTACTACAGAATTAAAAAGCAATTTTCTCTGACTGCTTCTCAGCCTTGTCATTTGATAGATATGTGCACACATGTATGCACGTGCATGTATATCAAAAAGACCTCACTGAAGTGACTATTCAACACCTATTAGATTTCCTGCAGATTTTCCCCAGCATGGAACTGCTGCTTGGAAAATAATATGATCAACAGCTGGTCCATTGCCAGTCTGAGAAGACTGCCTGGACATACTGTAACCTGCAGGTCAAATTTTGCCCTGGCTGACACTCCACAACAGCCCCAGAGCCAAACAGTTGCAGGATACAATAAATGAGGGATGATGTGTATCTAATTATGCTTTCATTCCTCTTCTCTAGCAAAACATTTTAAGAACAAGTAAAATACAATGACCACTTCTGTGTTCCCGTCTTTCTGTTAAAGGAATTTTCTTTTAGACACAGTGTTTTACTAGTAACTGTTGAGAAAATACCTTGCAAAAATTGTTTGGAGGTTCATTTTCCAATGCTCTGAAGCAACTTAAAAGTAGGATGAACACATTGTTCTTTACATTCTATGGGACATTCCCATAGAACTGAGTCACCCAAGTCTTATGACCCAAAGCGAGGACCAGGGCTGCAATAGGACCTTTCCTTTTCAATCTTTTGTTACAGTGTTGAGACTATGTAAATTCCCAGGACGATAACTTGAAAAGGGGAAATGTAGAAAATGCAATGTCATACTGAAAATAGGAGACAAAATTACGTCCTGCAGAACTTTTCTGGATGCTGGAACAGTTCAATGCTGGCCTAGCTAATCCAAGATGCCTGTTCAGCTTAAAAGCATGTGGCTTTATCCATTAAAAAAAAAAAGTTCCTTTTCCCCAAGGAATCCCTTCCACCTACGATGAGTTCTGCTAAAAATTAGCAATTTCTTGTTGACAACTGGTGGCCCTGATGCGGGAAGGGGAAAAGCTTCCATCTTGAGTCAAAGATGATTAAGTCTTCCCAAGCAGAGTCTTGTTAAAACTCAGAAGTTAGATCAGATCCACCAAAAGGTTTGCCAGTTTCCAGTCCTCCAACATAGCCCTAGGTAACCAAGGAAGCCCTGAGAAAATGGGCCCTAATGTAGTTTTGATCGGAAACCGGTTGGTACCAGCTTGTCCTGAGGCCACAGGTTGTTTTAAATTAACACCAAAACTGGGTCTGCATCCTCGGAACTGACCCTGCTCCAAATCAAAGGAGATGTTATCCTAGCGCATCCTGAATTACTTTTGAGAAGAAAGCTCCTACTGTAAATACAAGCACACTCAGAGCAGACACAGCACCAGGCAAGACTGTGTGAGTTACTGCACTTCACCACAGATACTGTGGTGAATGTAATTCGTGAGTTACTGCACTTCACCACAGATACTGGCCTGAACCAGGACAAGTAATGAGCCCTTGTAGGGGTAACAAGCAGGTGCTTTCTTCATATTCACCTGGAACTTTAGGTGAGTGGAATTTGTGACTAGGGGTGGCAAAGAGCAAGAATCAGGAGAATTAGTCTTTCATGTCTACTCCTTACCATGTTGGACCAAGTTTACTGTAGATTTTTGCAGACTCACTGATGTCAGTGAACAGGAACCTATTGCCCAGAACTGAATTAAGCCTTTACATGTCTCAGTTTAAGTGAATTCTCTTCCATCAGACATTTATTTCAACTATTAATCTGACTAATACTTACCTAAAGAGCAGTAGAGTCCAACTTGCTCATATCCTTCACAGCAATCTGTAAGAGTGATGGTTTCAGGGACTTCAACAGTATGATACTGCGTTTTATAGTATGTCCGGGGACACACCATCCATGGTATCCATCCTCCACAGGAAGTGCTTTTCTCATAGGACTTTTGGTAGGCAACCATTTTAAACACATTTTTGGTCAGGCTATAGTTGCACAGATGGTACCCTAGCAAAGAGAGGCCTTTTTCTAGGGAGGAAAAAAAAAACAGGAAAGAAAGGGATCAGCACTAATTTGTCACCCCAGTGCATAAGTTCCCTGCAGTATCTAGTTAAAAATACTGTTATGAGAAAGCAGTGACAGAACCAACACAGATGAATGATTTCCAGGAAGGCTGATGTTAGGAAGAACATCACTTCAGAAAACAGACAGAAGAAAGAATTACTAGTGACTACTTGTCATAGACATCACTTCAGTCATAAAAAGGATGCAGATTGGTAGAAAATTCAAGAGCTCGCAGTGCCTTCAGGTGCAAAGCAGAAAAAGGGCAATTTAACTCAAGTAAGTATAAAGGAAACTAATATATGTTAATACAAATTAACAGCAGAGCAGAATAGGCACTTCCAGGGCAGAGTCATCCAAGTACTTTATATGTCCACTCCAGGCTCACGCTGCCAAAGTGTTCGTCTTTCTCCGCTGACTATAAAGGGAATGAAGGACAAGGAACTCATGGGCAGATGAGTCACAGTAGATGTCTGGAATAAGACATCCTTCAGACATCGCCCTAGGCTAAAACTGGGTACTCATGCATCATGGGGAAGGACTTTCAGATGTCTGAAACAAAAGGTATTCCTGGAGCTCCTATGTTGCCTATCTGTGTTTGTAGCAGACCATCTTAGAACAGGCCCTTTGAGAGCTGCTGTGGTTCATTGACTTTAGTATAAACAAAGTCAGTAATAAGTTCATTAACTACGTAATGGGACTCAGTTTCTGGAGTTCTGAAACCAGTCATGATGAGGAGCAAACTTGTTACATGCTTTACTTAAAACTGAAATGCTGGAGCAGGAGCAGGAAAAAAACCCACACCACAAAGGAACCCAAACGACAACAGCAGCAACAAAACCAGATGGAGTTTAAGAATGAGCAGTAAGCAACCTACAATCATGTCACAGACATCAGGCTGTCTCCTAATGAGATGCTATAGAAGCCAGAGGGGCTGAGTCACCCTGTGTCCCATTTGGGAAATAGATCGGATAGAATTAAAATGCCTATATCAACCTTTAGACAAAGCAAAAGAAACTTTAATAAGGATAAATATGAAATAGCTGCAGAGATTCAAGTGTGGCAGGACTCGTATCTCTGAGAGGTCTGAGGGGACCAGGGCCAGTCAACAGACAGACTGAAGCTAACACAGTATACACAACAAGCATACAATTAAAATATTTACAGCTTACCTTATTTGCACAGCTTATCTTCTGCCTGAAAAGATGAAACATGTAAAAACAACTCAAGAAAAAAACCCTGTCAGGTTCTTAGGAATCATGTGCTTTTATCATGTTTAGCTTTCCAGCTAAACAAAAGGTATGTGTGCAATTTGAACAAGACTGGTAAAAGAGCTTTGAACAGGACAACTCATTTGTAATGCAAGGACAGTCCGGAAGAAAGCATGGGATAGATACCACAGGCTACAATACGTCCCGCAAACTGGCTCAACCAAATCACCCAGAAGGTCTTCCTCCAGCCCTAATCCTAGCAACTGCTCAAATAAGAACAGCCTGAAAGATATCCCCTGCCTTAGATATTCAAAAGTCCATGAAGAAAAATGGATTTGCTTGGTGCAATTCCCAAACGGAGGCACAGACACCTCCCTGCAGACAAGGGCACTTTGGAAGAGCAGAAGGAAGGAGAAGGTAGCTGGGACGGACCATGGACCACCCCCAGCCTTCCCTCTTGACTATAAATAACTTGTGTCTGACCAGACCCAAGGAGAGCATCGGGCCCCTGGGAGTCCAGCCCTGCTCTGCCTGACCCATCTGTGCCTTCATCCTGCAGCAAAAGGCAGAGTTTGATGTGGGGCGTGCTACAGAGGGTGCGTGTGAGAGCAAGAGACCTCCCAGCAGGCTCCAGGGAGCCCTGTGCTGCTGCTTAGAGCAGGTCAGCAGGAAAATATCAAGAATAAGAGCATATCTAGAAGTCCCACTCCCTGCTTCCTCCTCCTCCCCAGCCTCAAGCAGGACACCTCTGTGTCCCGTCCCTGAAGCTAGCTCCAGAGACAGCAGCTGAAAGTCCTTCACAATCACTAAAAAGCACCAGGGCTGTTCTTTGTCCTTAAGAAGAGAGGTGAAAGGAGATGGTCATGAGGGGCAGGAAGGAAGACGCCCAGCCTGTCCCAAGCTGAGGGGCTGAAACCCATACCCTGCCTGACGCAGGAGAGGACCCCAATGGCTGGGATAGAGGTCTGACCTGGACCATGAAAGCCCGTACCCAGCTGTGGCACGTAGGTCACTGTGCAGGAGGGAACTGAAGGTGAAGTGAGTCAGAGAAAGTAAGGTGGCCTCCCTCCCCTGGCTAAATTTAGGACATCCCTCTGGGACAGGGGAAAAGAGAACAAATGTGGGTTCTGGAGCAGAAACCAGAGGTCTGCTTTTTATCCAACGCATTTGATCGATTACCACTTCACATGAGGCACAAGTGCCTTACAAGAAACAGGTAGCTGTCATTGCATTTTGTAAAGCATTCCCTTGCCACATGTTAGGAGTGCTCCAAGAAAACCTACCCCAGAAAATGCTTCTAGACATGTAGGCATGGGGGAAAAAAAAATTTTGTTTCAGCTTTTTTTTTTTAATTAGTTTGGGGCCTGAATGGCTATATACGCAAAGTGGGATGGAAAGAGCATCTAAATCATTTTGGATCTAGCCTCTATCTGGAGAAAGTGCACAAACATATAATGGTGATCAGGGAAGGTGGGAGGAGCAGGGCAAATTTTGTTCTATGGAAATGAGAAAAAGAAACCATTGCACTAAGGAATCATACTGTTACAGTATAAAATGATGTTAGAGGGGGGTAGGGCAGGTAAGGAACAAGAGCTCAGCCTGGTTCCTTGTCGCTATGATCCCTCCATTTCTCCAGAGCTCCCGTATTAGCATGGCTAGAGCAAAGCAGACACTGGAAGAGAACAACCGAGTACGGAGAGCACCGAAGATTCGTGTTGTCCGTGCAGAGCTGTGGCTGCAGCAAGGACATAGCACTGGAAAGCTAAAAATTCCAGAGTCAGCTGAGCTGGCTCAGGCTCTACAGCAATGTGCAACATAAATACAGGTATGAAACTGAGAATAAAACGGTATAGAATTAGACACAGTTTATAATTAGAAGCTACAGCTGTCAGAGCAGATATAAAATCATATTTCATACTTAAACATTGATACTAGGTATAGAATGAGGCTGCCAAAGCCAAAAGAGAAGGTTTGAGATACAGTTAGGGTGGTACAAAAAGATACCCTCGCTGGAAGAGGTTATACCGAAGGAGACAGGGAAAGGTGCAGCACCACCAACCTTACCATCATCCATCACTACCACACAGTTTGAAACAAGCTTTGACACTCACAGAGTTCAATTATTTGCTGACAGCGGTTTCCTGCTGAGCAATGTGGCTTAGATCAATTTGGGCTCTTTAGCAAATTGGCTTTCTGTTCTCATTACCCCCATCTATGGGATTATGGCACTATCAAATGGAATTAAAATGCACTGGCTGTTGTTTCCAGCAACACAAAGCTGAAGTCAATCACAAAGCAGGAGAAGGCAGTCACCTGACATTAGTAGGGCTACGTTATGCCTATCATCTCTGGGCTTTAGTTTTTTATCTTAGCAACCACCAGCTTTCAGCACTGTCAGGGAAAGTATAAATTTTATTATGTTAAGCGAGAGCAGAAACAATTAAAGCAAATACTTTATTAATAGAAACAAATACTGAGAGGAAAGGCTGAAAGGAAAGTCTTATAACTCAAGGTCAAACCCAGATCAGAACTGAGAGCATGATCAAAAAATCAGCAATAAAAAATGCTTGATAGCATTTATGCCACAGTCTTAGCTGCAATTCTGGAAACTTCATTGCTCAAGTGCCAGAAAAGCCACTCTGAGCTGGGATCTGCAAAATCTTTTCTCGCTGGAGAACAGCAAGAGCCAAAGACAAGCCCCTTTCTTGTCTTGACGTAACCTTAAAAGTAATCCTTTGGAACAGGTTCACGGAGGGCAGATTCAAACTCAGCTTTAAAAGGCGAAGGCCCCGAAACACGAAGAAAAATGGATTAACAGCTCGATTTTTCTGGGTATTCCAAATTCTTTTTAAAGTCAACACCATTGACTTTAAATGGCACTAGAATGGGGGTTCTGCTGACCCCCAATCTGTAGAAATCTCTTTTTTTCAGCTGTGACTTTGACAGGATAACAGAAAAGCCTGCAAGGCTTTAAGAAATATGGTTTGTATTTTGACTGAGACTTGCAAAACCACTTAAGTAAAAAAAAGCAACAAAAAGCAGCCAAAAATCACTATCTTTTCTCTAAATAAATCAAACCAGAAATTAAGAGCAAATTAGGATTTAATTTAGCAGTTACAACCTAGCAATTGAGTTAGGTTTTTCCAAATTACAGCCCATACCATAGATGAAAGTTAAACATGTCTTCTACAGCTTCATTTTATGCATCTCTAGGAATTTGCCAGGTACATTACTACATAATTTCCTCCAAAAGTTTATTTTAAAGACAATTTTCATAAAAATTTGCACATTACTGAACACAAAGCAGCAGTCCTACTCATTCATTTCTGGCACAAAGGAAATGACAAGGCTTTTGACTGGGGGTGAAGAGTTGGGGACAAAGTTTGTGTTTTGGCTTGGTTAATTTTCTTTGTTTAATTATCAATGAGGATTCTTAAATGGTCGCTGAGACATTGCCAGTTCTCCAGAGAGTGGCCACCTTGGCCGGTTTATTTCAAATAAAGAGGTATCCCACATCCAAACTAAGCTGTGCTACATAACAGCCGTGGTCCTCTGACCAGGTTTGCATCACTCACCTGTAATTTCATTTCCCCTTCCCTGCCGTGTGGCTGCCCAGAAGATGAGAACAGAAATAAGAGCGATCCTGGCCATTGTATCGCCTGTCCTGGATAAGCCCTTCTGATCGCTTCGTTTCCAAGGCGCTAGAGCTCGATCGTCCTCCCATGCAGGCTTTTGGATTAGGGGAAAAGGTGCTCTCTTTTTTTACCTTTTGCAGGTGGGTGATAACTACTGGCAACAGAAACAAAGAGGCTCCGGTGGGAATTTTGCAAGTTCTCTCTCCTTCGCGCCCTCCCCGGGGAACCTGCCTCTTCTACCTGCTCAGCTTGGCCTCCCCTCCCCGCCTCATTTTGAGAAAAAGGCATTTCAAAATTGCTGGTTTAGTCCATGTTTACCCTTCTGAGCACTTATTCCCTCTCACACCTTGAACACCTGACAACTAGGAGCCAGATTTACATATCTCGAATGTCAGGTATAGGCATCTTGAATTTTGTTTCTGTCCACACATCAGGTGATACTATTTTTTAGGTCTTTAATTCTGTACTTTGAAAACAAGCTAAGAGTAAAAACAAATGTCTATGTCAATGTTTTTTCCTGAATTTAAGCTGTTTCACTAGCTGCTTTCATTGTGCTCCTCATTTCATTGCAATTTCAGTATCACATAAACCAGAGCAATGCTAGGCAAACAAGAACCTTATTAGGCAGGGCATGAATCAGGAGATTTGAGAAACCAAAATCCCTTTCTTTTCATTGTGTAAATCATGAAGGCATGTTCCCAAGATAGATGTGCCTGCAGCTTTACAATACAGGACAATAACTTCAGTGCAATATCACTTGGCTCATGCGAGGAAAAGGAGTAAACACAATATGGTATCTTATGAGGAGCTGACACTGAAGTATGGAAAATCACAGGTACAGTTCTTGGAGCTGAGGCAATATGTTCAGACCAGCACTTAAATACATATTACGGTACTGCAGACAATTTCATGTGGATGAAAGAGCCAGATGTAAGGGAGCCGGAACCACAAACTCTCTTATTTGTGTATGTTCAGAATATCAGTAATATCGCTTCTGTAAAACACTGTCGGGCAACCACTGTGTTAGCACTCACAAGGTAGGAGAGCTGGGGCCCTGGAAAACATGCGGGGCAACAGGGGAGTTGTTCCTGGATCGTTCAGATCCTCTGGCAGAGGGCAGAGCCAGGGCTCTGTGTTGTGTCGAGGCACTTGTGAGCTGTTCTTCTGGCTTGGAAAATAAAATATCAAGCTCATCAGAAAGAAAAAAAAAAAGCAGAAGAAGAAAAAAAGGAAAATTAATGCTTGCCCAAACTTCAATTGAAAAATGTTTTTGCAGAAAATGGGAAAATTGGATCGTTCAGATCCTCTGGCAGAGGGCAGAGCCAGGGCTCTGTGTTGTGTCGAGGCACTTGTGAGCTGTTCTTCTGGCTTGGAAAATAAAATATCAAGCTCATCAGAAAGAAAAAAAAAAAGCAGAAGAAGAAAAAAAGGAAAATTAATGCTTGCCCAAACTTCAATTGAAAAATGTTTTTGCAGAAAATGGGAAAATGGGTAGAGGAGAACATTTAAAAAAAAAAAAAAAAAAAAACAAAAACCAAAACCAAAACATATTTTGGTTATATTTCTGCGCTCATCAGAAAGAAAAAAAAAAAGCAGAAGAAGAAAAAAAGGAAAATTAATGCTTGCCCAAACTTCAATTGAAAAATGTTTTTGCAGAAAATGGGAAAATGGGTAGAGGAGAACATTTAAAAAAAAAAACAAAAACCAAAACCAAAACATATTTTGGTTTGGAAATATTTCTGCTATGTCTAAGGAGAATGTGTACCTTAGCACCCCTCCTCCTGCACGCACCAGGATGTCTAGTCAGGCTGTATGCCCCATGTGAACCATTTACATCTCCTGTCAGCACAGGGAGGCAACAGGGAGACCCTGGCTGTAAGCTGTACAGAGGACACCATCTGACTTAAAAACCCCACTAATAAATAAAATAAAAAACGAGGACTTGAGTCGGTGAAGTTCAATTTGCAAATAGAAATATTTCTCTTCGTGGTCTATATTTTTTTTTCAACAATCTAAATTTTCTGGAAAAAATACCTTGATTGAAATTTTTCAGCTAGCACTCACAAAAAGGATCTTTAGCCCCTAGAAATGACTTGGCACCTTTTGCAACAAGTGTATGTCCTGGCCAAATTCAAATATAGGTAATTCCAAACTGGCATCTGAATTGGATTGCATTTGGGGTCTCCCACTCACAATCCCAAATTGCTGGATAGGGTTGCCATGTGTCTTAAACAGCTGCTGCTTTCCAGAGTTAGCTATAAAACAAATGTCATCATCTTCACCGCTAAGGACTTCTATGACTGAAGTATGATCCTCCAAATTGCAGTAAAGGACTAACATCCTCGTTCTAAAAGACTTATGTGTACATGCTCATCTTTAGGACTGTCGTGGTTTAACCTCAGTCGGCAACTGAGCACCACACAGCTGCTCGCTCACTCCCCCCTTCCCTGGTGGGATGGGGGAGAGAATTGGAAGAGTGAGAGTGAGAAAACTCGTGGGTTGAGATAAAAACAGTTTAATAATTGAAATAAAATGATAATAATAATAATAATAATAATAATAATAATAATAATA